CTTTGCTCACTCGCGTCTTTGGCTTCCCGTACAACAACTTTCATGCTGGCGCACACGATGCGCATCGAACAACAGGTTTGCGTGTTGCTAGGACCGCCGGGAATGTCGTGGTCATCGATCTGCCAGGCTGGGACGAGGGCATGGAAGAGCTACGTAATGCAAGTGCCTATGCTGTTGGCCTGTTGGACATCTCCATCGTCGTGCTTGACTATGCAGCTGTGGAGAGCGACAAGACTATTAGCCTGATCGCCTACATCTGCGAGCGCCTTCTCGCCAGCAATCGCGCCAGACCAGTGCATATATTACTCAATCGAGTGGATCTGGTAGTGGGCCGAATTGGGGGAGACATCGAGCAGGAAATTCGAGAGCGGAAGGCTCTGGTCGTCCGCCGAATTGATGGGCATCTCAGAAGGCTCACCGGCGGCAATCGGGTCACCATCTTCACCAGCGAAACCGACGGCCAACGAACCTTCATAAGACCAGCGTACGAAGAGGCCGACCAATTTGTGCAAGTGAGCTGCTTGGCGCTCAGTGACCCCGACCACACCTGGCAGTGGTCGGATCGCATGCTGAATGTCCTGCACGAACTTCACGAGCGTGAATTGATTTGGAGTATCGAGTCGGTGCGGGAGTGGGTTCGATCAATCTGTCCCAACGCATTCTAAGCGCAGAAGCGCCTCTCTTGAATTTTGTATGTACGTAGGATTGCAATGCCAATATTCACTCTCAAGTATGAGGCCAATATTTGGCCTCTCAGCACCTCTAAACGCCGCGGCGGTGAATGAGAAGGGAAGTCAAACCGGGTTGCCCTATTTTTCGACTTCTGATGAGATGGCCGAGCGTCACTGTCACTACAGGAGGAATCGCGTGATACAGGTGCGATTATCTCAGCAAGTTCGTCGAGGGACGATCTGAGACGCGGGTTCCATCTCCTGACTAGAAATCTGCGATGCTCAGAGATCCGATCCTGCTGAGGAGCACTGCTGCCTGTTTCCGGCTGGCGCGTGCGTGGTCTCGACCCACGTCATGACGGGCGCCGGTCGAGACAGTAGACGATCCGCGAGGAGTCTCAAGCCAGCGTCGATCAGGGCTGGCGGATCTTCAGAGCCATGAACACTGATAATCGTTCCGAGAAGAGTTCAGATTTGTGTCAAGTGGGGAGTCGACTGAAGAGGACTGGCAAAAACACATATACATGGATGAGTGTGGGACCAAGCACTCCGTAGGGTGCTCAGCTATCTCGAGCATCAAGGGAGGGTACCGCACACGTAACATTGAGCCCACCGCCGAGCTCCAGCACTCTGTAGTTTGCCGACTCCAACCTAGTCTGCGAGCGCGAGTCCGCGCTCAAATACAATCTGGGCCTGCCAGTCGGCTCGGTCCCGCAGCTCGTCGATCGCTGAGGGCGACGGCATGAGCATCGTACACACGAGGGTTGGCCTTTGATTGGCAACGCGCTCCGGAAAGCGTGTCCTCCCCTTAGTGTGCACACAGGCTAGAAGTCAGACCACGGACTCATAAAGGCGCACTGGATCTGCCTTCATTGATCCCATGTTCATACCAATGCATAGCAGCTCTCTTGTATGCCGTCGGACCGAAAGCGTCTTGCAGGTCTTTGTAGCGCTCAAGGTAGGACCTGAAGCACATATCTTTAGCAGCTCGACGACCTTCATCGAGCCCATGCCTGATCCAGTGCGCCAGCAGAGCCTCGTTCCTGGTTCTTCCCGCAGCCCTGTCGTGGAAAGCGTTCCTCAAATCTTCGTGCGCGTCCCAATAATAGCCTGGATCGAAATGTGGAGAGAGCTGCCTGCCGGTGGACAGCCCTACCGTGAGCATGTGCTCGACAATGTTGTTTGGGCCCAAGGCGTCCGCATCTTTAGGGTATCTGGCACGATAGAATCCAGGGTGGCACCACGGCGAGCCGACCCGACTCTCTTGCTGACCAAGCATGTAGAAGTGATCTTTCCAATCAATGTGATAGACGGTGTTGTAGAAAGTCTCGCAGCAGGCCGCATTGATATTGCCGAGAATTCGATCGAAGCGCGTGCTTTTCGTGCCAAAGGATATCCAGTTGTAGTTGGACAAGATGCGCAAGTGAGCGAGGTGTGTGCCTTTCTTGTCAGCCATGTGGTGCAGATCTTCCCACGCATAAGCGTACGTCTGCGAATTGGTGTCAAGCACGACCACTTCCTCACCACCTCGGCTTGCTACGATGGTGACGTAGTGCATCAAGGTGTTGCTGTAGGCAAGCAATAGCAAGACGGGTCGCTGGCATTGCAACTCCGAGTTGACAAAGCTGACAAATTGAACCCAATTCTTTTGCGAAGAGTGATCGTTATCACCAGCCTGAGCCTGCGCACCGGGAAATTTCTTGTTGATATGCGAGGCCAAATGCTTGGGTCGAGGGCCGATGGGCACGTGCAGTGCGGCACGAGGGCAGGTCAGCATGAAATCGCGAGCTATGTCTGCTGTCATGGCAAAGCCGAGCACTGCTGCAGCGCGACTAGAAGCGTTTGGCCCACAAGACCACACGGCATCCTGTCCAGCTTGTTGTTGGGGAGGCACGCTTGCAACAGCATTTTGGATAGCCTCGAGCGGTACGCGACTTGTGAAATT